TCTCTGCCGGGCTACACTAGAGAAGACAAAGGAGAATAGCATGTCCCTTCCAGGCACAAGAGATAGAGTTCAGCTCAGCGAAGCAACTCTACCCAGTGGCCGTGGGGCTCGGGACTCCCAAATTCATACTGTTTTCCACTGTATCATGTTGCCAGCCACTTCATGTTAGAGGAACAATTATGTTCTAATTTATGGGATCTCTAAAGCTTACTCCTGGGGTGTCTGTCCAGAGCATTTAGAAGCTCCTTGAGTAAACTCTGTAAAGCAGAGAGCCCTGCTTTACATGGCGAGTTGAGCAGTTGTTTAATTTGCTCCTGTCCCGAGTGCAGGGTCAACATGTTTCCCAGAAGAGCCTTAGCCAATATTTTAAGTTACCTCCAAGCCTCTTAGATCAAGAATAGGGTTAGGGGCACCTGGGTGGCTCAGTCGTTAAGCGTCTGCCTTCGGCTCAGGTCATGATCCCAGGGTCCTGGGATCGAGTCCCACATCGGGCTCCCTGCTCAGCGGGAAGCCTGCTTCTCCCTCTCCCACTCCCCCTGCTTGTGTTCCTGCTCTCGCTGTGTCTCTCTCTGTCAAATAAATAAATAAAATCTTAAAAAAAAAAAAAGAATAGGGTTAATATCTTCCACCGTTTGTGTTCAGTTTTTCCGTCTGAAGGGGGTTGCTTAGCCTCACATCATAATCGACCAAGACCCTGATAGTCTTACTCTGACACCATTTAAAAGATGCTTCCGATGCTCCAGTGGTTCAATTATTAGCATCATTACAATAAGTGTGCTCTTTCCAAGCTGACTGTGAGAATAATATGAGGTAACTTAATCAGTCCCCTGGCATGTGCCTCTTACCCCAACTTAGGCATCAGAATAACACTCTGAAGAAGGTATTATTAACCCCACTGTACCGGTGAGCAAGTTGAGGGACAAAGAGCTTAGGTCACTTCCTAAGGTCATATAGTTAAATGACGGTTAAAATTCAAATTCTGAAACCCGGTCTTTTAAGCATATGTTATATTGCCTTTAAAATGTTGCCTTAAAAATTCGGGTATGCTTATTAAAATGATTCTTATATTTAGACTTCATATTTGTAACTGCATGGACAATGTCCCAAAAGCTGTTTGGGTGAAATTGTTTTGGAAGTACAATAGATTTGTTTTCAATGCAAAAATCAGTGGAGGATCTTATTAAAGTTGTCATTTTTCAGATAATGGAAATGCTCAAGATCAAATATTTATTATTCAACTTGTAGCTGTTTCCTTTAGACGTGCATCCATACAAAACAGGATTATTTCTAGGCCTGCCTGCCTGCCTCAGGAGGACCAGTATTAATAGCCTACTCTCTTTGGTGTCCAGTGACATAGGATAAGTGCCCTTTGTAGAGACTGTAAGATGGAGGTTATGATTTCTAGGGATGAGGAAGGAAAGCCAAGCACATTTTTCTGGAAACAGCTCCCGAGGAAGTGTACTTGTCTACTCCAACCAGCAACCCTCTTTCTGAGTCCCAGCCTGTCCCAGAACATTTCCTGGCCTGGAAAGGCAAGTGTAGCTCCATACCGTGCCAGGCTTGTCTAGAACAGCCTAGAAAGGCCTCCAACAACCTGTAGGAGAGAGCTTTGGGAATATCTCAGGCTGAGCCACATTCAGCCAGGCGTGCTAAAAAGACTGAAGCCTCCTTCACCCACTGTCAGCCCACAGCAATGAGAAAAAAATGCCACTCCCCCTTTTGACACAGTTCAGACTGCCCTTTTGCAAATATAGTCCTTCTCAAAGCCACTCTCAGAATCATTGTAAACTCACATCAACAGCATATGTGATTTTTAAAGGATAACAAGGAGTCCACAGTGTGATTTAGACTAAGCTCAGCAGCTCTCCAGGGCTGGTCCTGGGCTGGGTGCCTGACCAGACCAGCCCTGCAAGACATTACATGACCAGGGACAAAATTAGACATGTGCAAGGGATGGACACTCCTACCAAAGGGCAGGTGTCAGGGCCCCAAGTGGGAAGAGGAGAGGTAACTAGGGAAGGATAGTGCCCACCCAGGGACTACTCCATTTCCCATCCCTAAGGGGTTCTTCACCAATCAGAAGAGAGAATTCTTTAACAACAGCTCCCCACCCCGTGGCCAGGAGCCACCACTGGCTTCCTGGAAAACGTTTCCAGGCAGGAGGTGAGCAAAGCCAGGAAGGAAAACAACCACTCCGGGGATAATGGGAGAACAGGAGCTCTGTGACCTGAACTCTGGAACAGAATTCACCTGCTCTGCAAGGTAGGACCATTTCACTCTAAGCCAAGAACCTGCGGTGCTTCACGACATGTTGCCTTGCAGGCTGCCACGCACAAAGGGAGCCTCTGGTGTTTTGCCCACGGATATGGTCCTGGCTCTATGGAGATCACCTCGGTGATTACAGATGCACCCTGTGGCCTTTTGTGGCAGGGTCTCTGGCCTCTGGCCTCTTCAAATGGAGGATATTTGCATCAAGTAGGGATCATAAAATCAGAGACCCCCATGAGGCTTTGAGCCAATACCTACATCTCCAGATGAGCCACCTAAACTGATCTGAAAGAACTGTGCTTATCTGAGCCACGTTCATTCATTATTTTATTGGTTATTAAAAATGTCAGGCTCATTTTAGAAAAATGTGAAATATAGGCATATATAAGGAAGACAATAGTATCACTGTTCACTGCTCCTAACCTTTTGGTTTCTGGGGTTTTCTCCCCCTATAAATGTATATGGGGGGTTATTTATGAATATATACATTCCGTACAGTTTTATTTCCTAAAGGTAAAAATCTCAGAAGTGAAATAAATAGGTAAAAGGGATGGACACTTTTAAGACTCATGCCAATTTACAGCTTCATCAGAAAGCCCTACAGGGAACAACTGTACTCCTCTAGTAACCTGTGAAAATACTTGTAAACGTGTGTCATGTTTGATGAATGTTTTTATCAGTAATAATAGGGGTAATAATCCTGACCTCCACTGCCAGGAAGTTCCTCCTGATATCTGCACTAAATCCCTTCTGCTGACTTAACTTCAAACCTGTTCCTTCTTGTCTCGTTCTCAATGAAAGAAAAAACAGCTGCTTCCTCTTGTGCCCCTGACTGGTCTCCGGGAAGACGACCAGTTGCCAAATCTTTCCTCGCCCTCTCAGTGTTCTCTGAGGCTAGCTAGCTAAATGGAGCCCGAGTCGTTTGTTCAAGGCCAAATGTGACCCGCAGAGCTTTTCTCCTGTTTGTGTTCTGTAGCCTCTACGTCCTGGAGGGAGGTCTCTGATGAAGGCCTGACCAGAGATGAGTATAGAGATTATCTCACTCACCCACAAGCAACATACTCCTATTTATACACTCAAGACTCAACATGGTACCACATTGGAGTGCTGATTCATGGCTTACTGATTCAGTTGTATTTGGCCTTTACTGTAAGTAAGCAAAAAGAAAAGAGTTTATATTGTCCATTTTGTAATCTCTTTGGGCTCTTTGTCAAGAGAAAACTTTTCTTCTATAAATGGATCCCAAACTTATCATGATCTTTTCAGGAATATGAGTATGGAGAAGAGAGGACGTTGATTTTAATGATGTGTAAATCTAAGATGAGGTGGTTATGGCCAGTGTCTTGAAATCATCATCTAGGAACCAGCCTTTGGCTTTTGGTGGAATTTGCCTTTCTAATGATAACATAATGAGAACAGGGTACTTACCAGGCACTCACCCTATACTAGGCACTGTGGTAAGCATTTTGCTTATGCTTATTTAATTTCTCATATTAACTCTATAAAATGGGTACTATGTCCCATTTTTACAGAGGAGAAAAATGAGGGATTGAATGCACATGAGACTGGATCTTAAAACCTAATGTTTAGGTTAAAAAAAGTAAGAAGCAGAATGAGAAATACAGCACAATACCATTTATAAAAGTAAAAGGCATGTGTATAAAACAATAAAGATTTTATAAGAATATAGGTAAACAGAACAACAAACATGTTAGAGTGGTTATTTACAGAGAAGAGAGTAGGAAATGGGGATGAAAGGAAATACATAGATAACAAGTGGGCCCTTGCCCACAGCAATAAGGACAATATGCCACAGACTGAGCAGGACAATGCCTCAACATTGCACCTGAGGTCCAACTGAAAAAAACAAGTAACCCCAAAAACTCCCTTAAAGCAGGGAGATGGTAATAAATGGCTCCAGTTTACAGATCCAGAGAGCTGCCCTCCCCCAGCTGTCTTGCACTCACCCCATGGGCCGTCTGGCTTAACTAGTCTGTGAATCTTCAGTTCTTGACAGCAGACCTGCCACATAGCTAAACCTCTTTAGGCTCCAGCATCTTGTCTTCAGCAATTACACAATTTATATTTGATCTAGAGGAAGGTGGATTCGCAGTATTTCTTATAGGCCAAACTTAAGTGTGAACTAGGCAGTCAGCCATTCATGCATTTGTTCATCAACTTTGTACTGAGTGTTTATTATGTCCAAGGCACTGGGCCAGATAGAGGCAGGGATGGATGAGCTAGAACTCTGGTCTCAGTGAGCTGCCAGCTAGTGAATCATTCTCCAACCACGGTCAGACACATCTTTCTCCTCCTGCTGTCCCCCTTTGCGTCCTTGCTGTCAGAGTGCAGATAGGCAGCTCGAACCTGCACAGGATTTTCCAAAGCACTAACTAGTGTGTCTTAAGACTGTTTGGATTTACCCAAAGAAATAGTGCTATCATGATGGACAACATTCATTTCCATTACTGGGAACTGATTTTTCTTGTAGCTCATCTTTCAGAATGGGTTGACCAAGAAAGAACAACAAATGTCACAACCACCCTAGTAAATGTGGCAAAATCTGCCTTATTGACTCATGTGGTAACTTCTCTTCCTGAGCCAGGAGAATGTTGGAGAGACATATGAGGAAGGAGGTCATTCTGTAAGGAGAGCTTGTGTGGCACGAGGCAGCCACAACCCCCTCAGGAGTTCAGGCTTTGCTTATACTAGGTTGGAGTTGCTTGACTTACCTCAATAGTTTTACAGGTGTCTTCCAGCTGGCTGATCACTCCCTGGACTCGATCATTGCTTCCCACAAGGACAGCGATGCCATCACTGAGCTCAGACTAATGAAGAGAAAAGAGGGATGCAAGATTTTAGGAGTTTTCTAGTCAGTACTGATTGCAGATAAATCACGGCATTGTCCTCAGAGATCCCTAATCCAGGGTCCATCGAACCCCTTAGGAGTAACAGTGAGGCTTAGAAGGCTTCTCAACCTCCTCATCTTGTAAATAAAATTCTGTATGGATGTGTATATAAGTGCATTTATCTGGGAAGAGGTTTCATAGTTGTCACCAAATTCTTTTTTTTTTAAGATTTTATTTATTTGAGAGAGAGTAAGTGAGCGAGAGAGCATGAGTTGGGGAGAGGGGCAGAGGGCAGAGGGAGAAGCAGGCTCCCTGAAGAACAAGGAGCCTGATGCAGCACTCTATCCCAGGCCCCTGGGATCATGACCTGAGCTGAAGGCAGATGCTTAACTGACTGAGCCACCAAGGTGTCCCAAGTTGTCACCAAATTCTTTAATGGAGACTGTGACCCTGCTAAAAAAAATTGTAAACACGGAATTATAGACTATAGATAGAACATATTTTGCACCTTCTATGTGCTAGGTGCACAAATACATACATACTAGACTAAGTCATTACAAACTTGAAGCTGTAACATTCAACTGGTTCCAGGGGAGAATTTTCAACTTGAAATTCCTCTCCTCTTTTGACTCAAAGAGATTCCATTGTTTGTACTAAGCCCTTTCCAAGACTGGCTATGGACCACCAGGCAGCACTGAGTAGGGACTTAGGACACCTACCTGCTTGGTCCAACTCTGCCTTCAACTTCTTTATGATGTTGGGCAAACATGTAATCAACTTGGACCCTAATTTTCTCGGATATAAAGTGAGAAGATTGGACCAGAACAGTGGTCGTAAAACATTTTAAAGCTTCAGAACCCTTTCTTCAAAACGAAGCTAATATGGAATCCCAAAAGGTAAAAGTGAAGCTGCTTTGCCCAAACAGGAGTGGAAGTCCTGCCAGTCTGTCCTTCTGTCCATCTCACGTGAGTTTTTGGGCTCTGAGGGAAACAAGTACTATTCAGTTCTAACACGCCATGACTTGAGTGGGGTGGGTGGGTGTGGAAGGAAAAAGGGGAAATAAATCATAAGTGGATTGAAAAATAAGTAAATGTTATAGATATCTTGCTAAATCCTGCTTCTTTAGCGGCTAGTGCTCACTGGTTATGACTGGTGTTACCTGGAAGTTTGGCTTTCAAATTTGATCCTAACTCTGATCCTCACAAGTAAAACACTGACCAAATGTGGAACCTATGATTCTGCACAGAAGGAAGCTGAGAGATGGAGCTGCTCAAGTTCTAGGTGCTGGGAGTGGCTGCATCTATCTTAGCACAGCACTGCATGTTTATTTGCATCAAATGGGCGCATTGCTACTTGCCAATGGATGAAACCAGGTTGGCAGGTCAGTGATAAGCTTGGGCACAAACTATAGTTGGTCACAGTGAGAGGGCTGAGGCTGAGGCCCTGGGGTGGGGGCATGTGCCAAACTCAGAAGGGGCCTTTCAGCAACTGGTCTCGGTGCAAAGGCCAGGAGGCCAGCTTAACCTTGCCTTGAAGCCTACTACAATAGGAGTGGGGGAGAAAAGCCCTGGGAGGGGTGTGGCAAACAGAACCTTTTGTTAGCAAATGAGGAAAAATTCCTGTGCCTGGAGTGAAAAGTTATCCTGTTCATATCTATGGTCTGAACTTCAAACGCCTCAGACCAGGTGCCAACACACTGCTTTTCTTCAGCAACCTCCAAAGTGCACGAAAAACATTGACCCTTGCCCTCTGCACACCTTCCTGACCCTGTGCACCCCTTCCCTCTCTAGCAGTCCCTGTCCTCTCCAGGGGATCTAGCGAGTGGCCACGTGCTCACCAGCACATGCTCACCAGCACAGCACCCCTTCTCCCTCCAGCCTCCACGCCCTTGGCCTCAGGGCCACGTGGCTTGGCTGGTCCCCTTCAGCAAAGGGAGCCAATCCCGCAGGCACTTGGAAGGGGCTGCCAAGGAGGAGCCGCAGGGGCCGGAGAGGATCTGTTACCTTCTGCCTCTGGAACACGTGCGTTAGGGGTGCCACCTGGCAATCCTTGTGTGCCCCGAAGACCTTGCACAGAGAGCAGGTGGGCACCTCACAGTTCAGACAGTAGATATTGATGCGTTCTTCTTCATGGTCCTCACACATGGGCTGGTCAGACTTCTTTTCTGGTCTGGGAGGAGGTAGGCAGATAAACGTGTCAGCTTCCACTGGGGCCAAGCAGAGAGGGGTGATTAGCATTGCTATTCTAGAAAACTCCCAGGGTACCCTTCTTGCGCTCAGAGCTCTCCAAATTCAGTTGCCCTGTGGGCTTAGCAGTGGCGTGCTGACAGATCTCTAACAACCAGCCTGGGGTAGGGGTAGGACTCAGACACTCTGATCTGTAGCATTTGACAGTTTCTGCCAGTGTTCCCATCATGGCTGATTTCAAGTTGTTGAAGATTTAAAACACATCTAGTGGAATTCCTGAAAGTTGAACCCTCGGTTTTTGTGTTAGGAAGGTGCTCTAGCCCTGTCTCCACATACTCGCAGGTCTCTCGAGATACTTTCCAATTATGGGTAAAGAAGGAGAAGTGGCTGATAAACTAAATCTCAAACTATTCCAGCTTTGCAGAGGTGCTAGGTCCCAACCCTCCAGCCTCCTGCAAGCACCTTTCCCACCCAAAGGAGGAGGGGGGTGGGCTGGAGGATCCCAAATCTCTGATGATTAATCTAGACACTGGTGGGAAGTAGCTCTGTGTAAGAAGGAAAATGTCAGCACCTGCTTCATTCATTTGTTTGGGTCTCTTTCTGCCGTTAAGAAAATTAAATATAAATAACTTCCTGAGTGAGGACTTGACACTGATTAAGAGTGGTTAGTAAGTGCTCAATGAAGGTGAACAATACTTTAAGCAATAAGAAAAATGCTGCTCTGGAACGTGGTGGTAACCTTGGAAGTAAGGATCTCACAGATAATCCCCAAGTTTCAGTTTTCCCAACAGTTCAGCACCAGCGAAAACTTTTCGGACCTGCAACAGGTGATAATGGAGTGTTGGGTTTGTGTTAGTGAGATGATGACCAAGCGATGAGGAATTGAAAGCATCAAACAGGAGTGACAAGTCATTGCCATTTAAGAAGAACCTGTTAGCTGGAGAATCACAAGCAGCCCAAGTTCACAGCACGTGGTAGGGCCTTGTATATTCCCCTAATGATCAGCGTGGCTTATGTATTATCATCAAGATCAAATTTATGCCAAGTCGTGGTGTTCTAGGCCCTCTCTGGAGAGCATCGTGAGAGATGTGGGTGTAGCCTACTTCTGCAAAAACCTGGAATTCTTACATATCCTATCTAAAGACTGAGGTTGTTAATAGTTTTCAGAGGTAACTGGAAAATGTAAATACAAATCCATAACCTTTCCTCACATTCCCAAACACATAGTTATTTAAAAGCATGGTTATTTAAAAGATTTGGGCCTGAGTTTTTCCATTGTTACCAAGATCCACTTTTAAAAAACTGCAGGTTTTAATGGGCCATGAAATCGATTATTATGGGTCATGAAATCAATTTCGGGGTCATGACCAGCATTGTTAAAATCAAAATAAAATAGAACAGTAAATACTGTGAACTACATGTAGTAAGAATAAGGCAATGATATGTGAAACTCTTGTTTCTGGTATACAAAGATAGATGTGTATGTAGGTACATATATGTGTGTGTACACATATCTAAGTACACTGGAAACAAAAGTGTGTATTTCATATCTATTTATCTTTATATCCATCCATGTATGTAATAGTCACTGTATCACAATGTAAAATGTACTTCTGCTGTGAGACATGAATAAAATGGTTTAAAAACCATTGCTGTTGATATGCTACCATGTAGCTGCAGCCCCAGAAACTCAGAGGAAGGCAGAGAATATACTGATTTACATCTATAAATCACTAGGTAGGAGTCAAGTCAAGAGATTGGGCTGTTGGAAGAAGCCCTGGGTCTGGTAAGGAAATTGTATGGGCTTCCAGCTTCAAGATTTCAGAATCTGGTTTTTGTAAAAGGAATTTTTGCCCGGTCTTGTAGCAATATGTTTTCCATAAAATCTGTGGCCTCCTGACTTGAATTTCTGCTATATTCTCGGAAGTCAACTGAGGAAAGTAAACTGCCCAGGTCTGTTTCCTCCACCAAAATGTGAGTTCCACGAGGACAGGTCTGTCTTTTTTTGCTGGATCCTCAGTGCCCAGAACAATGCCTTGCACAGAATGGGTACTCAGCAAATATTTGTTGAATGAATGAGAAATGAAAGATAATTTGCCAGATTAATGGATAGTATTTCCTTGTGATCTAACGTAAAACCACTAATCTGGGGAAGGCATGTGAAATATGGGGAAAACCCAGGGTCACTTGGCACTCATGAGCAGCAAAGAAAGAGGCCAGACAACATTCCGAAGACTCCCATTTATAAATGACAAAGCCCTTTGGGGGTGATCTAGAGACTAGGAGTGGTGGTTTGCTTTTGCTTGGTCAAAGGCTTCTCCACCTCCAATACCTTCCCTATCATGTATCTCCATCTCATAATAATAAATGTCAGGCAAGTGTCTGGAGCACGTTTACTGGAAAATGGCACAGATGATGCTTTTGTGGCTCATCTCCCTGCAGCATTTCCTGAGGACAGCCTGTGTCCCTTGTGCTATTCTGATGTCAACAGCTCTGACCAGAGCTCAGGTATGTAAGTGTATATATGTAGACATGCATATGCATATATAAATGTATAAATATATACAACATATACAGTATATACACCCAGTACACGTAAACACTAAGAATGTGGCAATAGCCATAAGGCTGTATGTTTAGTTTTGATTGTGATTATTTTTCCATAATGCATACAGGCTGAGAACTACTTCCCATATTCCTTATCAGGTTTTTCTTGTTTAGGTCGCAACATGGGCCCAGGGGCATCACCCACTTATAACTGGGTGTATAATAGAAACCTTTAGACAACTTAAAACATATAACAGACTTGGGTCAAACATGGCATAGATATGATGTAAATGCACTTTCATGAGGTGAGAGTGTCTGAGCTCACAGTTGTGGCTCAGGTCTCAGCTCCAGATGTGGGCAGTGGCCCCTAGCCATTCAGTGCTGGCCAGCCTCAAGGAGTCTGTAGCCTGCTGTCTCTGGCCTCAGGTTTCTGGGACCATTCTGGAGCTTCCCGAAGGGTGGGCATCTGGTCTTGGTGACGCATGGCAGGTGGTGCCTTTAGAGTCAAACTGATCTCCAAGTTTAATTCCAGCTCAGCTTCCCCATGTGGCAGCTGTGTGGCCTCAGGCAAGTTACTTAACCTCTTTCAGGCTCCGCTTTTATTCATATCTGAAAATTGGCCTGAGGGTCTTCTAATTAAATATGGCAGAATGAACCTATGCCTTTTTTATTTGTGTTTCCTGTGGAAATCCTACTAAAATGAGAGTGAGGAAATCATAAGAATCACATTCTAGTGTAAATCAATAAGGACAAAAAATAAGCAAGATGACAGCAGATGAGAGATATTGACCAAATGTTGGAAATTGAGAACATCTGGATGAAAGGAAGTGCCTGGCTTGAGTTGCATCTTATTCTGCTAAGTGCCTGCAGGGGAGAAGCCTGCAAGGAGCAAGCTGACCTGAGCTGTGGAACCCAGGAAAGGCTCTGGAACTTCTGAAGCCAGGTATTCTGAAGGCAGGAGTGTGTGGGAGGCTGCAAAGTGGAGTGCTTTCTGCATATTTTGGGAGATTACTTGAGGATGTGCTCCACAAAAACAGTAGAATAAACCAGCAAAGAGAAAGACATAGGCTCTAGGAAACAAGGATTCAACCCAGGGAAGAGTACAAGTAAAGTAGGTGAAGCCCTCGGGGCACCTGGGTGGCTCAGTCCTTAAGTGTCTGCCTTCAGCTCGGGTCATGATCCCAGCGTCCTGGAATTGAACCCCGCATCGGGCTCCCTGCTCAGCGGGAAGCCTGCTTCTCCCTCTCCCACTCCCCTTGCTTGTGTTCCCTCTCTCGCTGTATCTCTCTCTGTCAAATAAATAAATAAAATCTTAAAAAAATAAAAGGTGAAGCCCAGCCACGTGAGGACACTGACCTGATTGTCTGCAGTGAAAAGTAGATAATATCTAAATTGAAAAATCAAGAAATGGGACTATAGTCATAGTATACAGATGTCACTGGGGTGATAACAGAAAAACAGCTAAAACAATGGAAAGTGGTTGGCTCTGGGGAGTGAGACTTAGGGGTGGAGAAAGAGTGGGGTGAGAGTGGAGGCCTCCTTAGAGGTCTCGTACTATTTGACTATTTAAATTATGTATATGAGTTAGCTTCAGTGAAATATTCAGAAATTTTAACAAGATAATAATAATAATCACAATTTCACAGGATTGTTGTGAGAATTAGAGAATCATACACGATTCATGTGTAAAGCACCCTGAATAGTGGTTGACATGTACTCGGCACATATTAGTTTTACTTATTACAAAGTTAATTATTATAACTTTCATGATTAATATTAGCGAAATAAATTCCTGTTCTTGTCACCTCCCCCAAACTGTGGCTAGTTCAGCACCATGCAGAGGTCTAGGTAAGAAGGCCAGGTGTCGTCAAGATCTACAATCTCTAGTCTTCCTGTGGGAGGTCAGAGTTGACCAGCCCCTCTCCTTTATGTCCCCACCCCAATGACGGTGAGCCAGAGATGGGTTCCTCTCACTCTATATCCAAGGTTATTCTAAGGTTGCCTAATGGACTCAGGCTTCTGGGCTGGCAAGGCTGCCGGCCTCCAGGGAACACCTGGGTTTATGCCCAAACAGAAACACCTGGATCCTCTTTGCAACTTGTGGTTTTGCCACCCGGTAAAAATGTCCCAAAGGCAGGTCTCAAGTTCAAGAAATAACAGCATAAGAAGAACTTGATAATCAGAAAAATACCACTAGTGCACGCAGTTATGAGCTTCATGGTTGGAAATTTTGTTCATTACTTTTATACAGTTTGCTCACCTGGGCACTTTTTTGGCAAATGCACATGTAGACTTCATGGTTAAAGTAAAGATGTATCTTGTGGTTTTGCTAATGCTACAAGTTGTAATAGCTCTTCTTCTCTGCATTTCATAGCATTATTGCTATTATTTCCCATATTTCAGGCTCTCACTGTAGCAAGTAGCAAAATGAAATTATTGCAATAAATAGAACATGTAAGAAGGTTTGTGGTGTTGCTTTGTCAGCGGGCACTTACAAAGTAACCATTCTATGTAAGACACTCTACTAGGCACTGAATCAGTTGTTATATAAACACCTTTAATGATTGTCTGGGTTGTTAATTGACTGGTTATTTTTTTAAGAGACAGTGTGCATTTGCATTTTAAAGTAACATAATACAATCAGATCAATCAATGAAGCAACAACAGCAACCATAGCACTTTCCTTCTTCTCCAGAGACTCTGGAAGCAAGGGAAATAGCTGACTCTGTGTCTCTGCAATATGTCACTGGCAATTACTCTTCTTCCCCAATTCCATCTAGATTCTGGCACTATCTAATTTAGTTTGAATCTTAAGCAGAAACTAATAGGCATAATGATTAAAATAATTATATGTTAGATTTATAGAACAGCTTTCCTTCCAAGAGTGCAAGGCTCTTAGAGCCCTGCAGATGTTCCATAAATACATGTCTCCTAATAAGAATCACAATGAGTTCATTTCCAGATGGTCTCAATATTGCTATCAAGCTTTGTGGACCGGACTGACCTGTACAATTGAAAAAGGGCTCTTCACACCATGCCTTCTAGGAATGAACTCCTGCAGTGTTGTCTCTAGGAAAGGAACTCTGTAACCAATGTGATTCAATGAGGAAGAAATCTTTTTTTCTTTTTTTAATGAATAGATGCATATACTGAGTATCAGTCAATCAACAAGTGAATGCTAAGAGTATGAGGCAAATACAATCTAGAGATTAGAGAAACATAACCTGAATGCCATCTCCCCCGCCCCATGTCTCTAAACTTTAACTTGCTAAAGGAAGGACTGTGCATTGCTTTGCAACTTCCCAGAGTCCATACCATGACTAACTATGTTAGAGAACTTTGTTTTTATTATGATCATCTAGACAATTTTCAGGTGAGACTATCTAAACTAGGAACTGGGCTATTTTGGAAAATGCCATTTCTATTAGTTTTCCTTAAAGTTTTGTACTCTAGGTTTTCTGCTATGTAGAATCTGGAGCTACAAAGGACCTGCGAAGTGCAGAGATGTCTAAAACATACGTAATACAAGGCTTAGAGGGATGGGCCACATTATACCTCTTTCAGTATTACTGAATGGATTAGTGTTAATGAATTACTTCATTCTTAAATTGATACAAAGGCTTGGGCACCAGCTGCCTTCTCCTTCCACGAGCAATTCTCATATTGGGAAGGACTCCCTTGGAAAAACAATGTCTGTAATGGGCAAACAAGCATTTGGTGTATTGATCCATTAGAACAAACAAACAAATAGACAAAAACAAGCTTCAAATGGGTTTGACACAGGGAGGAACCATACCTGGTGGATTCCTGCTTGTAGATGTCAATGATATTTTCCACCAGCAGGTTCCTCTGAAGGCCATATATCCCATGTCTGTCCAGAACCACTTCGTGTCTACAGGATGGGCAGCGAAATCGGCCCCCTGAGGCCACGGTGGTACCTCCTCTCGTGGGCAAATACGGGTTAGAGGCCTGTTCTTGCCAAGCAAGAAAAGAGGAATTGAGTAATGCCACAGGTAGCTTTTCTGAGACTTCTTTTCACTCTGTTACTACAAACAACATCAACTTCTACTTTAAGCTGGCCATAAGATAATCCCTTAGAGCCTTCTCAGCAAGTGGTCCCAGAATACAGGGCCAGCACTTATCCACAGTCAACGGCCATGTACCATGTTCAGCATGAAGCACTTTTCCATCCAATGTTTTTATAACCAAAGGTTCCAGCCAGAAACTCCAACATTAATGTCTTGGGCAGCAATTCATTTATAATTTTGAAGCAGATTCAATGTTTTGAGGTTTTTTGTTTTTTTTTTTTAATATGATTCTTAGTATTTAAGTAAAACTAGATTTGGGAGTAAGGAGGAGGCAGACAGCAAAGCACAAAGCAAATCATTAAAAAAAATGTTTTTCTTAAAATGAATGCAGCCTTAAAAGTTTTTCTAAAAGAATTTACTTAAAAGTTAAGCACTTGATTCTGAGAAAAGAGACTCTTTTTTTTTTTTAACCCCCTAAATTCCAAACAAACCTACCTGGAAAATATCACTGGCACATTTTCTACACAGGTTATGCTGACAGGGAAGAATAACCACGGGCTTCGTGAACATCTCTAAGCAGATAGGACAGATGAGTTGCTTCTCCAAGTTATCCATGGTCTGCTGCTCTTTGGAAAAAGACTTATAATTCAAAGATGCGCTCATCTCCTGGCCGTCCCTGTGTGCACTGCCAGGGAAAGGGTGCTCCGAATGGTTTCTGCAAGTGTCTTCTGGAAATAATTCCAAAGATTGGGTGATCAAGTGTCCTTTATGGTTTTTTCGGTGGAAGACATTGTTTCAGGCCCAGGTTCAGAGGAGGTGCCCAAGCTGTTTTTAGCATCTGGAGGGGCGGGGGAGGGGGGGCTGTCCACGTGACAGTGGGCTGACTTGTCCATATAAGCCAGTGACAGGAGGATGGATTCTGACAGGTGACAGAGAACAGGAGCCAACATTCCTGCCCCAGGGAGTGAAGAGAGTGGGTGGGAAGAAGGATTACGAACCCCATTTAGACAGGGTTGTGAGGAGAGGGAGGTTGAAGCTGACAGTTGT